CTGTTTTTATGCTAGTGCATGCTGTTTTGGTTACTGCAGCTCTGTGATATAATTTGAAGTCAGATAATGTGATTTGTCCAGCTTTGTTCTTTTTGCTTAGAATAGCTTTGGCTACTCTGTCTTTTGTGGTTCCATATAAATTTGACGATTATTTTTTCAACTTCTTTGAAGAATGTCATTGGTAATTTGATAGGGATTACATTGAATCTGTATATTTCTCTGGGTAGTGTGGACCTGTCTCCACCAGACAGCCTTAGTCTAGGGCAGAGGGAAGGGCAGAAGAAACAATATTGATTCTTTCAATCCATAAACATGGAATATCTTTTTATTTTTTGTGTCCTCTTCGATTTCTTGCGCCAACGTTTTATAGCTTTCACTGTGGAGGTCTTCCACTGCTTTGGTTACTTTTATTCCTAGTATTTTATTTTATTTGTAGTTATTGCAAATGGAGTTATTTTCTTGATTTCTTTTTCAGATTGTTTGCTGTTGGTGCATAGAAATGCTACCAATTTTTGTACGTTGATTTTGTATTCTGCAATTTAACTGAATTTATCTGTTCTAATAGGTTTTTGGTGGAGTCTTTAGGCATTCCAATTTGGATGCCCTTTCCTTCTTTCTCTTGTCTGTTTGCTCTTGCTAGCACTTCCTAGAGATGACTATCAGGACTTTGTGAACAGTTTGACGGCCACTTATTAAACATTCTAGAGCCTTCATCTTCCTCTCAAGTCATGGTTCCTAATCCTTTTCCCCCTTTTCTGGTGGGGGGAAGGGTGGTATGGGAGCTCAGCTCAGGGCTTTTTTTTTCTTTTTTTTGAGAAGGAGTTTTGCTCTTGTTACCCAGGCTGGAGTGCAGTGGTGCCATCTCAGCTGACTGCAACCTTCACCTCCAGGTTCAAGCAATTCTCCTGCCTCAGCATCTCAGGTAGCTGAGATTACAGGCATGCACCACCATGCCCAGCTAATTTTTTGTGTTTTTAGTAGAAACAGGTTTTCCCTATATTGGCCAGGCTGGTCTCAAACTCCTGACCTCAGGTGATCTGCCCGCGTTGGCCTCCCAAAGTGCTGGGATTACAGCCGTGAGCCACCGCGCCCAGCCTACCGCCTCTCTCAGGGGAGAGAGAAGAGCAGGGAGGGCAGTTCTGCAAACAAGAGAAAGCGGAATTCAAGGTTCTAAAAAGAGAATCAGGCTCAACTCCCATATGCAAAGCTGGCACTGGAAAAGGAGAAGGGTGGAGCAGTGCCACCAGGAGAAGCAGGACTGGAGATCAAGGCTGTGCCCTAGGCCTCCCTGTGCTTCAGTCTGCACACCTATAAAATGAAGGGGCAGAATCGGACAAGAAGGTGTGCATAACACACTTAATGTGGCCACGCCACAGGCTTGCTGTAAGGGCCCGTTCCTTCCACACTGCCCTGCCCTCTCCCCTAGACTAAGGCTGTCTGGCAGCAGGAGAGGATACTGAACACAACAGCCACAACCATCAGAATAATAGCCAACATCTGTTAAGCATCGAATATTCTGGAAGCTTTGCAAGAAATTAGGAACACTGCTTGTCTCAGGGAGGTAAGCCAGGTGAGGAAGGGGTAGGAAGGACACTTTTCTCTATAGACCTTTTTGTATGGCATGAACATATTTCCTGCGCCCAAATAAATGAATTCAGTTAAAACTTTAAAAGCATATATAAAGAAAAAAATGCATCCCCAGCCAAAGCCAGATGTCACAGACCCAGCTTGTAAGGAGCAGCTGCATACAGCAGTTTCATTCATGAGACGACATCCATCTGCCTGGCACGTACTGCCCGGGACTCTTCTTCCTCCTCATCCTGCTTTCCTTCTTTTATGCATTCAACAAGTGTTTACTGAGCATCCCAGATGCCCTAAAGGCCAGCCAGACATAGGAAGCCTGAGGCAGGCAGCCCAGGCCAGTGGGGTAGGGCCAGGGGAGGGGGCCAGGGCTCTCTCCACCCTCGTGCCAGGGAAGGGGAGAACAATGTGGAAGGGCACAGCCCCCACACACAGAGTCTCCTGCCCCAGGTGACAGGGGTGGAGTGGGTTTGTTCTTTTGCCAAGGGTCCCAGCCCAGAACGCCTCAGGTGGAGCGGCAGGGAGTGGGATACGCAGAGAACAATCTTCCTTTGCATCCTCTACGTAACACCTCGTGGCCTGTGGGAGCACGTAGGAAGGAAATCTGGTGGAATGCATCCCCAGGCCTCCCCGTGCACTTTCCTCCCGGATTCAGCTAGGCTCCGCTTCCCAGCCTCCCTTGCAGTGAGCTGGGGCTCAGGGACCGAGCCTGGCCAATAGGGTGTGGGAGGAAGTGATGTGTTCTAGTTCTAGGCCTAAAAAACATCTTCCTTTGTGGTGGCTCACACCTGTAATCCCAGCACACAGGGAGGCCGAGGCAGGCAGACTACCAGGTCAGGAGTTCAAGTCCAGCCTGGCCAACATGGTGAAAGCCCGTCTCTACTAAAAATAGAAAAAATCAGCCGGGTGTGGTGGTGCACACTTGTAATCCCAGCTACTCAGAAGGCTGAGGCAGGAGAATCACTTGAATCTGGAAGGCAGAGGTTGCAGTGAGCTGAGATAGCACCACTGCACTCCAGCCTAGGCGACAGGGTGAGACTCTGTCTCAAAAAACAAAAAACAAAAAAACAAAAAAACCTCCCCTTTGATCCTCCTGTGTCTATTAATCCCTCTATCTCTTTCTCTCTCTCCCCTCCCCTGCCAGAATCCAGAGAAGTTTTGGATACAGGGGCTGGAGTCCCCTGGAGGACAGGCCCTCACCCCTCCTCAGACAATTCACACTGGGCTATTGCTTGAGTGAAAAAAATGAAACTCTGTTGTTGGGCCTTTGAGCCCTAGGGGCTGCTGTTCCTGCTCTCTCTGACTCATACAGTCTGTTCCCCAGGTGCCAAAGCTGAACCTGAAACCAGGTGAGGAGGGGTGAGACGGGATGCCAGCAGAAGCCTAGAGGCCTGGGTGACCAGCGGGGGTGTGCGCAGAGGTGCCCCTACTTTCTTCAGTGCCCCCACCCCTGCTCGGAGCCGTGTCATCTCCCACCTCAGCAGGCCCATGGTGGTCTCCACCCTGGTCTCCCTGTTTCTATTAATACTCCGGACTCTCTGTTCTGTTCTCTACTCAGTGGCCAGAGCAACCTTTCCCAAACCCAAATCAGGTCATTTTACCCCCCAGCAACACCCCATCACACACACTCAACCTTCCCAGCGCATTCACAGTAAAATCCAAACTCTCAGTCTTGACCCGCACGTCCTGCAGGGGCTGCCCCACCTTCATCTCTGACCCTGTCTCCTGTGCTTTCGCGCTCTGTCAGGGCTTTGTGCGTGCTGAGCCTGCTCTTTCCTTGCCATTTGACAGGCCAGGAAACCAGGGCTCATGAGTCATCCTACCAGAAAGTGGCAGAGCCAGGATTAGAACCTGGTTTGTCCCAGAGGACATCTGATTCTCTCTGAGGCAACCTGAGATGTAATCCAGAAGCTTCTCTGACGGCTGGACCCTGACAGAGCCCACTCAGGTCTGCCCAGATCTGGGTCTCAGGAGCGCTGGGGGTTGGACCCAGTCTCCTCCAGGAGGCTCCCGCCTTGCTCCTATAACTACTTCCCTTGCATCTTCCACATCCCCACCTGACCCTCTGCATCCTCATGGGGCCAGCTGGGAACAACCGCCTCACACCCTCTGCTTCCAGGCACCCAGCCTCACCACCGCTAGACTCAGACCCCCCTTTCATAGGGGCCATGGAACAAGCACATATTGGGGTCTTGCAGCCCTGATGTCCCGTGCTGACTGTGATTTTTCCCCTCCCCATCACGGGGCTACCTCTTTTGGAGGCCAAGCCAGACCGCATCCTCCTCAGACCTGTATCTGCCAAACGCCCCACCGTCCCTCTCCCTGCTCACTGGAGTGCTCGGCCCTTGCGCTCAGCCTTCCTCTCCACTCCACTCCGCGCTGTGGCCTCCACCCTCCTGTTCCCTCCGATCTGCTCCACACCAGTCCCACGCGCAGGCCCGCACTTGCACCCTGCCATCATTCTGCCCTGTGTTAACCCAGGCCCCTTAACCACCGCCTCAGCCCACCCCCTTGCTCCCATCACCCCTTCACTCTGCAGCAGTGTCCCAGTTAGGATGGAGTTCAGCTGCGTGTGTCCCGAGGACAGAAGAAGAAAACAGTGACCTAAAATAAGAGAAGGTTTTATTTCTCTCTGACATAAAAGAAGTCCAAAGGCAAGCCGTCCAGGTTAGGTGGGGTGGCTTTATGATGTCAGGATCCTGAGCTAAATCTGTCTCGCTACTGGGGCCTCTTCAATATCGTTCTCCCACCTCCTCATAGACCAAGAGAGCTGTTCAAGCTCCACCCATCACGTCTGCATTCCTGCAGATGGAAGGGTGAGGAAGGAGAGAAGGAAGGCTCGCCTCTGCCTGTTAAGGATCCTTCTCCAAAGCTGCTCTTGACACTTCTAATGTACCTCCCGTTGGCTATGCTTGAGTCACATGACCAGCCAAGCTGCAGAGGAGGCTGGGAGATGCAGCCGGATATAAGTAGAGGGCACACAGGCAGGGGAGCAGGTTTGGGGGCGTCATTCACTGTTGACCACTCAGGTCAACATAGAGGGGGTAAGGGGAGCGTATGCGTGTGAAGGCAAGCCTGCCTGTGTGTGAGGGCCTATGCGTGGTGTGCATTTGTGAAGGGGCGTGGGAGTGTATCTGTGAACTATTGCATACCTGCACTGAGCCGCTCTGCCAGGAGCCCTGGAGACTGCTAGTAGCCAAGTCCACCAGTCAGTTTCCTAACCTGAAACTGCCCGAGTCACCAGACCCATGGGACCACCCATCCGCCCTCTTCACTATTCAGAGAGCGCCCAGAGAGGGGAGGATTCTGTCCACAGCTGCAACACTGTGTTGGCAGCAAGACGGACTCCTCACAGTCAGGTCAGCGTCCTGTGACGGGGACAGGCAGGAAAGCCCCAAAGACCCTCTCCCGGTACCCACAGTGGCTTCTGCTTTTCCCGTGGGAAACAGGTAGAGTGAAAACATTCTCTTTGCTTTTTCTTCTTCTTCGGCAGGTTTCACCAAAATCTGCGATCTTTCTCAGAAGGCAATCTAGGTGTTGCTGTGAGGAAAAGGACGTGTGATATTTGCAAAGTGTCTGTGAGAAGTTCCTCTCTAACGAGAAGTAACGCTTGCTTGCTTTTTTTTCTTCGTGTTTTTATTAAAGAATTGGAAAAAATAAAAATGTCCCTCTAAGAAGGTGATGCCTGCCTGTCACCATTGCCTGCAACATCTGCTTGGATGTTGCAAAAAACTGGGTCAGAAACATGGTCTCACTCAGGAGTGGTGATGCCCCCAGTCGGGCCTGGTTCCAGGAGCCAGCCACCCTGGGCCCCTGGAGAACAGGAGACCTTGAACTCCCCCGAGCCGGAAAGAAGCCCATTTCAGGCAGGAGGAAGGAGCAAGACAGGCTAAATCTGGATATCACCTGGCCCTACAGCGTGTAGAGAGAGAAACTGTAAAACCTCTGCCTCTGGGTCTCTGCCTCTTGGAGTCCTAGCATTTGTGCTCCGTTACCATCTCAGGAGTCTAAACAAGGTGAGGCCGAGAGAAGAGAGAGGCAGCTGCATTTGGGCAGAACCTAAAATACACCACAGTGAGGATGAAGAGAAGACCTCCCCCAGAACTAAGGGGCCGAACTGAGCCTGCAGAAAGGGAAGACCTGGACTAGGGCAAAGCCTCCAAAAGTGACAGGCCAGTGACAAGGATTTACGGAGAAGGACCCCTCAACTTCGGGGGGCACTCGGGGTGCTGGCTTGGGGGCCCCCTGTTGTTATTCCCATGGCCCCCGTGTCTGCAGCCCAAAGCCTTCCCCACCTGTCTGCTCACATAGGTGCCTGGCCAAGTTTAAAACACGATTCTCTCGACATTAGTTCTATGTATACAGGTTTGTGGCCGTTAATTCTAACTTAAACATGCAACGAAACTCTGCCACCACAGCTGGGCCATGTGTGGGGAAGGGGCACTTTCAGAGGGAGGAGTGAAGCTGAAGGCAGCATTGACAAAGGGACCCTCTGCCAGGCCTGTTTCTTCTCAGGTGCTGTCCTGGATATCTAGTTTACATCGTGAGTGCACTGCATCTTTGCAAACCTTTATTGTTTTGGAGGCACCTTCTTCTTTAGAAGTCTCCTACCCCAATCAGTAGGCTGAAACTGCTTTTCTAGCCTCCCTTGCAGCTAGGGCATAAGCATGTGACCAGGCTGCCCAATCAGAAGCCTACATTCCAGACCTCAGGCTGGGAAAGTGAGCATGTGACCAGGTTCCTTCAATCAGAAGCCTCAGCACCAGACCTCAGGCTAGGAGATCACGTGACCAGGTTCCCCCAATCAGAAGCCTGAGTTCCAGACCACAGGCTGGGAAAGCAAGCATGTGACCAGGCTCCCCCAATCAGAAGCCTCAGCTCCAGACCTCAGGCCTGAAGAGTGAGCACGTGATTAGGCTCCTCCAATCAAAAGCCTCAGCTCCAGGCCCATGAGGCTGGTGAGGGTGGCATGGGAACATTGCATTCAAGACGCAGCAGTTCTCCAAGCCTCTCCAAGCTTCTCTATGCCTGACTCGCAGGTCCTGCCAGAGATTCCTGAGCTTCAGAATATCCTGAATGATTCCTTTTCTAATGACAGTAGGCAGTAGAGTTTTTGCAACTGAAATTCTTAGCTGACACAGGTGCCTTAGCCAAGCACAGGACGCATGCATTTAGGGCAGATGTCAGATTTAAAGTCATCTTTAATTACAGCAAGGACTGACCATGTTGGGTGATGTGGATAGAGTGAGAGGGCAGCAAGGGGAAGTGTGCCCACCCCATGGTTTTCTCTCTGTGGGCTTTGGAATAGGACCAGTGTTGTACCACAGGCCCTGGCGCCAGTCTGGGCGCTGGATGCTCAAGGACAGCACAGAAGGTCTAAGATAAAAACCTCCTCTGCCTAGTGTACTGGTGGAGTAGGTGATCCAAAAATGGGGGAGAGCTGACCCTGAGCTCACAGCCCAATGACTTGCAAGAAGGCTACCTGAATGCCCACTTGGAAGGCCTGGTGAGGCCCATGCACACACCAGTTGGCTAGCTGACCTTGAACCTGTCTTGCTAACTGGTTTCTACTTTGGGTGGCTGCTGAGTGAAGAGGTTGCCAGAGCTATCAGAACCAGCAGGGGCCCCCATGTTTGGTGAGTGGCTGGTTTCACTTTCAAAGTGAGTTAGAGACAGTCCCAGTGTGAATCCTCTGCCACACAGTCACAAACTCGCTCTGGTTGCTCGGAATCAGGTCAGGCACAGGCTCTGTTTACCAAACTCTTGTTCCCTGGAGGACCCTGCATCTCTGACCCCCACCCCACCCCTCTACCCCAGATCAGAGTTCCTACCACATGTCAGGGGTACTGGGGAGGGGACAGGGGATTGTGAGGGCCAAAGGTCACCTCTTTGATTGACCCCATCTACCCCCGCCTTCCTAGTTCTATACACCTTCTCACGCTCTGCCCCGGAGTCAAACTACCAACACCCACACCCCAGCCTCAGACCATGAGAACACTCATTTCTTCCCTTCAGTTCCACTTCGTTTTAGTCCCACCCCTGTCCCCAGGCCAGAGGTTCCTCCCAAGGGGCATGACCACTGGACTGAGCATCTGCAGGCCTAACTTTGAGCCTCAGCGGTGCCGTCAACTCACTACGGTACCTCCCTGCAGTCGTCACTGCTCTGGAGCTGCAGACCCCAGGAACACGCTGCAGCTTGAGCCCCACAGAACTAAAGGATCTGCAGTGGCTCTCAGGCTCTGGAGGTAGCTGAAGACCCAGACCTCAGGGATGGGCAGACTCCAGACCAGGCACACCCACAGCTGAGTGTGGTCCAGCTGCAGAGGCCCCTTTGAGGCACCAACCTCCAGCCATTTCCTGGCTTTATTCCCTAGCATTCCAAGAGTCTCACTGGCTAAGATCAGGTCAAATGCCCACCCTCCAGCTGGAAAGGGTGGGGTACTTTGATGGACGGCTCAACCAAGACTTCACCAAATGCAGGAAGGTAACTCCCCAAAGAGAAATGGGGGGCCGCTTCTAGAAGCAGGAGGCCAGATGCCTGCTGAGCAAGCAGGAACCAAAGGTGCCTGGCCTCCCTGCCCTGCAAGGACAGGCTTGGGTTGGATGATCCCAGAAGCTCTCCCAGGAAAGGTATGCTCTGATTGGAGGAATCCAAACTGGGTACCTTGCCTCCCTCAAGAGAGGAGAGACTCTTCTCAGCCCTTGGGAGGGGCTCCTGGCATGAGGATGCTTTACACCCCACCCTGAGGCCCCCCCATTTGGGAGAAAGCCAGGCAGGGTCAGGCTGCTACCTGAGTGGAACAGAGGGACGCTCCTTTCTGCCACCCACATGGGCATGAGCCTGTGACCTTGATTTCATGGGCCTCCGGGAACTCATGAGCAAATCCGAAAGCAGCAGGGGACGAAGGGCCCCAGACTTGTCACCCTCTCACTGGGCCAGGCTGGAGGAAACAGACCAGCTCATTCCTCAGCGCCTGGAGCTGCTCTGTGAGAAACGGCCCCAAACTGGAGCTCAGGTGGCAGCCAGGGGCACAGGCCAGGGGTGCCATGGCCACTGCTCACCCACAAAGGTGCTCTGCTGTTCCCACATCGCTTTCTGTAGGTCGCACATGGGACCCCTGGAAACAGCCCTGAGACTGTCACCCCCACACGTGAGGGTGCGTGAGGAGGGGCGGTGTGCCGAACAGAGTGGAAAGCGACACTCAGCCACACAGCCCTCAACACAGGGTTCTCCCTCTGTGCCCTCTGCCCATCAGCCCCTCCACTTCACCCCCAACCTCCTCCACCTCTCCAAAAGTACCCGAGAAACCCCGCCTCACTCCTCCCCAAGCCAGGTGTCAGGGACCAGAAGAGACGTGGCCAGCACACGAGGGGTCAGAGGAGGGAGCAGAGTGGGGAGGGAGTGCGGGGCCTCTTTGATCAGGAGGATGTGGTCAGTGGCTCCGGACCTGTGACTCCGGCCCAGAGGTGCTGCTAACACTCTGGCTGAAGCCACCTGTGCTGCTCCTGCAGGAAGCAGTGTGGCAGGAGTGAGGGGTGCGGGGCCGAGTGGCAGGGGTCGGGGGGCACGGTAGAGAGGGATGGTGGAAGCTGTGAGATGTGTGGCTTAGGTTGTGAAGCTCACATCAAGCCTGGACACTCAAGTGAGTGGGCCGGGCACGTCACCTCTCCCCACTGGGCCATCTTCCTGTTTTTAAAATTCACCTCCTGTCTATCCCCTCAGGCCCAGAATGCAGACCACCAAGGAGGTTCTAACAGCCCACCTCAGAGACCTCAGAGGCTCCAGCATCCCAAGGCTTCAGAGACCAGAGGGCCGCCAGGGATGCAGAGGGCAGAATGCTACAGGGCAGAAAGTTCTAGAAGCATAGCCTTCCCAGGGAGGTACTAGGTAACTCCTCTAACCCTTACTATGCACCAGGCCCTATTCTAAGTATATGTGTTAATTCCCAATTATCCCAAGTGCAGTCTGAGGTCCAAGAGCATCAGCGTCCCCTGGTAGCTGGTTAGAAATGCAGACGCCCAGGCCCCAGCCCAGACCTCCTGAGTCAGAATCCGCATTGTCACCACATCCCCAAGAGACTCAAGTGCACACCGAAGTTTGAGAGGCTCCGTGTTATCTCAGTGATCCTGACATCAACCCTTGCAGACAGGGACCCTCATCCTATTTTGCAGATGAGAAAAACTGAGGCACGGGGAGGTTACATAACGCACCCAAGGCCACACAGGTGATAAGTGTCAGAGGTGGGATATGGGCCTGGGCCATCTGGCTCCTAAGTGCACGTTCCTAACTGCCAGGCCGCCACCGCCTTTGGAAGAAGAGAGCCATGGGAATTTGAGCTATGACTGGCCGCATCTGTGCCTGCTCCGGCTGTGCGGCTCTGGCCTTCCAGAACCCACTCTGTCCTTCCCACTGTTTCTCTGACCCTGGCCTCTCCAGGGAGAGTGAATCATGATTTTCCCAGGCATGGAAGGTAGGAACACGTGCCAGTCAGCATGGTGCAATCGTCAAGCATCTGAATTATC